GAGAGTTGTTGAAAACTAGCATTATTCAAGTTTCTTAATCTCCAATCGAATGATGATTTCTTCACCTCTGAAATTAACGGGTTCGAAATTCTGGTCCAACACGTCGATTGTAAGCGTGCTTATTTCAGTTCTATTTATCGGTAGATAGATGAGGTGATTTGGTTCTTCGTCGATGGCAAATCCTGGGTCGACCCTTACAGGAAACTCGTATATAGTATGTGACGGTCTATCGTTGTAGAAGGCTCCCGAAGTAATGTTACAATCCAGGTGGATGGTGTGTACTTTTAAAATATCCACCGGTAAATCCGATTTGTGTAGGTTCTTGGATTCTAGGAATTTGTTTGAAAATCTCAACTGTCATATTAGGAGTAAGCAACATTGCTTACTACATATGAAAATTCTGGTTGCCTACTTACATTAATGAAGGGAGTACCCCCCTCTTCTACAAAATGTAAATCTACGAAAGAGATTTTGAATAAAGCAGTGACTAACCGAACGTGTTTGAATAGACACCTATCCCGACACACGAACGAAAGTAAGATAAAAACCCTAATATCACATGGCGCAGTCGGTAGACGGAAAATCGGAAAAATATACATTGTAAAGTGAATATATAAAACTTGAAAAACGTAGCAGAGCGATGGCCAGCGAAAAAATTAAACCTCCTGGAGAGATGGATTTCGATAAAAATCCTGGCGAGGCGTGGAACTTTTTTCTTCAAAAATTCCAGTTCATTAAAGCCTCGAAAAGTGAAGAGGAGAGTGAAGAATACAAATGTGCCTTATTATTAAACCACATAGGAGATCGATCCCTGAGGATATATGAATAACACGTTAACATTTGACAAGAATGAAGATAAGAATAACTATACCACAGTCCTAAAAAAGTTACAAGAATATTTTATTCCAACGAAAAATGTTACATACGAGAGGCACATGTTCCTAAATCGAGAGATGAAAATAAATGAAACCATAGATGAGTATATAACAACTTTAAGAGAACTCAGCTTCACGTGTGAATTTGGAACATTAACGGATAGTCTCATTAAGGACAAATTAGTGCAAGGAATAAGGGACAAATCTGTCAAGGACCGTCTTTTAAGAACAAAAAACTTGGACCTAAATCAAGCCATTGAAATATGTAAAGCTGCAGAAACAACGAAATCCCAGTTAGAAGAAATTTGTTCAGAAGAGAGGATAAACGTTATAAAAAACAAGAAAAGAAGTTGGGCAAAAAATCCACACAGCGTTGGTGAAACTCAAACATATGAAAACGCAGTTCAAGGTCAAGGATCAAGTCAACATCGCGGGCAGGAGATATGGCGTGACTGTGCACCATCGACGTCACAGAGAGGAATAGGAAGAACGATGGCCAGCAGAGTCGGCGCAGGACAAGGCGTAGCGACAGGTGTAGCAGAAAGAAGAAGAGGACAACCAAACATGGCAATGGGAAAATGTAGCAGATGTGGCCAGGGACATCCACCAAGAAACTGCAAAGCATACGGAAAAAGATGTAATGCTTGTGGTTTAATGAATCATTTTGCGAAGGTATGTAGGAACAGAAATAATATTTATAAAATTGGTGAAGTAGATTATAGTAGTGATGATAATGATTTGTTTATTGGAATGATAGAAGATATAAATATTGTAAATAGTAGTAACGGAGATAATGTTAATGTTAAAAATACAAACGATTGGATTATTAGCCTGAAATTAAATAATATTAATATTGATGTAGAAATAGATACAGGTGCGAGAGCAAACTTACTTCCAATTCATATATATAACAAATTTTTCAAAAACATTAAAATATTTCATTCAAATAACAAATTAGCCACATATTCAGGAGAAACAGAATCCATTGAAGTATTAGGAAATATAAAATTAAATTGTTTTTATAAAAATAAAACATATTTGTTAAATTTTTATATAGTAAATAATAATGGTCCATGTATTATAGGTCGCCATCAATTAATGAAATGGCTATTGCCAAGCTTATTGGCAATATAGATTGTGATGTGTTGGGTGAATACGAGGATGTCTTTAGAGAAATTGGATGCACATCAGGACAATGCAGTATCAAAATCGATCGACTAGCAACTCCTGTAGTCCATGCAGCTTGTAAAGTACCTCTGGGAATTAGAGAAAAATTAAAAGGTAAATTACAAAAACTATGTAAACAAAAAATAATTAAAAAAGTGGAGGAACCTACTGAGTGGGTTAATTCATTGGTCATTATTAAAAAACCTAATGGTGATTTCAGAATTTGTATTGATCCTTCAGATCTGAATAAAGTAATATTACGAGAGCATTATCTTTCGAAGACATAACATCCAAATTAAAAGATGCTAGATATTTTTTTATTCTTGATGCAACAAATGGCTTTTGGATGGTACAATTAGATAATGAAAGTTCAAAGTTATGTACATTTAATACTCCGTATGGGAGATACAGACGTAACGATTTATTTTGAACTTAGAGCATAAATCAGGTGGGGACCAAAATTTAGATGTCGACACCAATACTTACTCAGGTGTATAACGGGCGGCCTACTTTCAGAGCTATCTTGTAGATCGATTTTCGGTCAGTGTAGGGATAAATAATTGTCGGGAATAAAGAACTGCATAAATTTTATTGTTTAGTAAGAACAAATCTAGTTAACGAACTGCAAATCATTTAGTTAGTTTAGGTATGTTTTGGTGGTATCAACCTTTCTTTTCGATGCATAGGGGCAGTTCGTCGGGTCACTTTTAGTTGTCCTTAGTCTGGTGCAACCACTTTTTGTCGTTCCAGGCTAAGTTGATTGCTGGGTTGATGAGGGGTGGCTGACAGGGCCTATTTGTGGTTCCATTGGGGATACTTCCATCTTCTGTAAGATTGTTTTCCTGGGTAGGTCAGCAAACCAGTCTTACACGGACAGATGTCGAATTATAGTATCGTATAGGCTGGAGTTCTCTTTTCGTTAGTCTGCAAAAAGATTGGGTTTATTAGTTTTCGATTTTTCTCACGGTAGAGTGTTAGATATAAGGGTTAGATAAGTCTGTAAATAGTACAGTAGAACTAGTTGTATATAGGTGTCATTTACTTACCAAAGGTTATGAGGAGACTTCTCTAACAATTACTCGCTTACACTTCTGGTTCTACAGCGTTATGCACTCCGTTGTCCATCCAGTAAATTAGATAATCTGTTAGTGTATCCTTTCTCACTGCAATATTATGTGTTTACTAGCCACTTAACCTAGAAACGTCAGAACCTCACAGAACGTTGAAAACTTGCAGAGTATTCACTGTCGTTTGTCAGTTTATTTGTCTACACGAAGCTGTCTGGAGTAGAAATTGTTCATTCTGATATACCTTCCGTTTTAGTTTTAGGGCATATAACGAACTCGAAATTGCCTGTATGTTGGCTTTTGGGAGGTTTAGGGAGGTAAATGCAAGTTGACGGTGGTTGATAATAAATATTTCACGGGCTTTAAGTCATAACGCTCAGTTGGGAGTAGATACGAGGTAGAACGGAATTTTCATTGTCATAACGTTGGTAACACCGGATGTCGGTTCGGATTTTGACCAATCAGAAAATAGCGAGGAATTTGCCGGTTATTTTCCGGGAGAGAATTGGGGAAGGGACGACATCTTGTTTCCTACTGTCTACGAGTCCGCAACAGGTGTGAACGCCTTCTGGAATATTTAAGGAATTGGAATCCATCCATTTATGGGAATAAAATCCATTGGGCAAATATTGGTTTCTCTGGCCGTTGTGTGGATTATTGGCCATTAGGGGTAGTATTTTTGGTGAAGGCAGAGAAAGATTCGGGAATTACCGGATATATTCACACCCGGAGGAATTGTTAGACGCCATTGGGGGGCAGTAGCAGGTACAAGAGGTGAGTTCGGGATGTTCACTCTTTTCACTCTAATCGCTCTAAGCACGCTAAATCCGTTCGAGTATTGACCTCTGAGTAAATAGCGTTAACTTCGTGAGGGTTCGGGTACTGCTTTTGTAGTTTAAAGAGTTCACTCCAAAAGTTCCACCTCTGGGATGAGGAGCTTGAGAGCGGGCATGCGCATTTCCTATTTTTCCCGGCTCTACCGGACGTTTTGTTGATGTTTTCAATTCCTAACCTCAATCTCTCATTCTGCAAATCAAATGATAGAAGCTTCATTGTTGCTTCTTCGTCATTCTTCTGTGCATTATTTGATTTGATTATTGACATTATTTCTTATTCTTTGTTTCGCATTTGCATTTGCTGACGTTGTGGTTTGTGCTGTGAGTTTTATTTACATATTGAATAGAATAATGGATGGAACGATGCCCATTATGCATATAACTGGTCAAACGCATTCTCTGGTAGTAGATGAAAGCGGAAATAATATCACAGTGGATGATGTTAACGGCGTTAAAACTGTTTTATTATACAGTAATAATGGTAAGTAAAAATTTTTAGTAATTTTTTCGTTTTGTAAGCAGCCGTAATTTTGTATTTATTTAGACAAAGAAGTCATTACTGTGCCATTAACAGAAGGTATTGCCAAAGAATTTGTACTTCTAGAAGTAAGAAGAGATGGAACCAATCCAAGAGGTACAGAGGAGATTACTTCTCAGACAATTCAAGAGAGCCGCGAAGATTGTGAGCAAATAAAAATTTGGACAACAAATAATACACTTTATTTAATAGAGTGTGTAGAGAAATTTGATAAAGAATTTTCATCTGGAATTAAAAAAAATGTTTGGCAGAGAGTTGCCGAATTACTAATTTAATTTAGTAATTATTTTTTTAAAATAAATATTAATACTGATTTTATTATTTTTATTTAAACCTGAAACTACAAAACTATTCTCTAATAATAGGTATGGTATTTATAATGTTTTGTCTTTTTATTATAGCATTTCTATCTTCTATTTCACCTTCCAGGTCTGGAACATTACCTGGATTAAAATTATTTTCATTTGCAACTTCCTCCTCTAAATTTATATCTTCCAAAAAATCTCCACAGTAGATGCATATATTATGTAAAATACAAGCACAAATTATTAGTTGTGCTATTAGGTCAAGTTTTCGATTTTCTATAAATTTTAGTCTACGAAATCTACCCTTTAAGAGAGCAAATGCATATTCAATTTTTACACGCTTCTTATTTAATAGCTTGTTAAAATTTCGCTGTTCAACTGTAAGGTATCCATTGTTCTTAAAGCCAACTATTAACTTTGTTGATAATTTATATGCTAAATCTCCAATAAGGTAAGTATCATTATAAAACATCACTTGTTGGTTTCTCATACCAATATAAAGATCAGATCTTTTGTACAATGTGTAATCATGAATCGAGCCAGCTTCTCCAGCGTAAACATCGGTAAATAACATTTTGTGATCACATACCCCCTGCAATAAAACTGAATGGAAATTTTTTCTGTTGATGTATGAATTGCGATTTTCATTTGGGGCTACAATTCGTATATGGCTGCCATCAATTGCACCGATTATACCTGTAATTAAAAAAAAATTGTATAATGAAATAAAAAATTTGTTTATTTTCACCTGGAAATCCATTATTGTTTTGGAAATTCTGACTAATTTCTATTTGTCTTTCTTTTGACGGCCACCAAATTACTTTAAATTTTCTATTAACGTGTATGAGTAAATTGCATGTTCGGTGCAGACTCTCCCAACATGTTGACTTGCTCACCCCAAACCTGTCTGCTATTGACCTAATTCAACAGAAAACAAAACGTACATGGGTTTGTGAACAGATGAAGTAATTACCGAAAACTTTCCATATTGCCAAGATACCATATTAATATCATAGCCTCCTTTTCTAACGAAATTCTTGGATAACCTGGTAGGTTTATTACATTGTTTTGCATTTCCAGTCGGACTGCATTCATTTTTCTCAATAAATCCTCAAATGTATTCGGCAACATCCGAAAATGCATTTGAAATTGTTGGTCTGTCATACGAGGAACTGTATTTTCAGCGTAATTATCAATTTTCTCTAATGTATCTTCTTCGTCTGAAGAATCTTCAAAAAATATGATTCTACCATATTCAAATATTGCGATTCTTCCCAAATCAGCCATAATATTCCCAATATTGTGAACCGTAATGTAAGTAAAATCAAATTTATAGCAAATTTCTAACCACAAAATCAAAGATAACCACAAAACCAAACCTAAACTGTTTTGTGACGCTAAACGCTATGATCGTTCGTTTACAAAAAGCTCCTTTAGCACGGTAGTCACGTGATTTTACTCTTAACTCTTGTCACTCCGGTTCCCAATAACCATGCCGAACGCCGCTAAGATCTCTTAAATATCTGGACGAGATAATACCCACCTCAAGTTCGTCGTCATTAGACGTTGTGGAGTAAAACCCTCTACGAAGTGGAGGTAAATTAGAACCTATTATATTTTTAGGCTAGTTCAGATTGCATGTTGTAATATACGGGGCATAGATTAATTTGGTAACATTATTTTAGGGTTCTATTGTCTGGCCCAGCTCATCGTTTCTATTGTCTGGCCCAGCTCATCGTTTCTATTGTATGGCCCAGCTCATTGTTTCTATTGTCTGGTTAAGTTCTTTTTTTTGGCTTGAGTTCTACTGGCTCAGTTGGTCTGGAGAGTTCCCTGGCTCGTCCTTCTCCAGTCGAGTACCAATTCAGTCGTGGGGTAGCCGAGAGGGGGGCTGCAGGATCACGTATCTTCCCCCACAACACCAGCCTAGGCGGAGTCGCCAGTATACGAGGGTTCAGCAGGGTCCACCAACGGTGTACGAGAGATTTAGATTGAAATCCAGGGCTCGATAAGTAGAACCAAATTGTGCATGAACTGTTTACTTCATTTTTTTTTATTCACTATTTTTTTTGTCATACACATTTGGAGAGACCATAGGGTCAAATGTTGATAGATAATTAAGCTGATGATTACTGTTGATGAATTTTCATAGAATTTCTTTAGAGAAAACTAGGGACTAGAATAGGCAATTGATTTGACAAAAACATTGTGCTTTGGGAAAAGAGCAATCCGGGTCAGCCTTGAAACTTGCGGAACACCATCCTAGGTACAGATATATTTTGTCATACCAAGGTATACATACTCTGCGCTTACGTAAGCCCATGGTACATAAGTAAATCGCAAACGAACCCTGCACAGGGGGTATAGCATTTTGACTCTTTTCCTATATAAAATCTTGAGATAATCACATGTTAACATATTGCTTTACATTTTTGTGCTTTTTTTTCCTTTTTGGTCTATACAAGTGTTTGTACATATTTGTGAATAAACTGAGTAACAACCTGTTTTGTATATAGCTGTAAATAAATTGGCCGTAGTATCATTTACTTTTGCCTGACTGTTAGTGTCCTGTTGAGATTAGAATCAAAGATTTGGTGATTTGGCTTTGACAGATTTACTTTGACAAATTAAATTTAAATTACCTGGCGCCCATTTCAAAATTTTGTAAGTAGATTTTCTTGTGTATTACTGGAGTGGTTCTCCCTACCAAGACCCACCCCATCTCCACTGTAGCTGCCGCTAGCACACCCTGCCTTGGGGGCAGGACACCACTACAGGGTAGGGTAGTGGCATTATCTCGTTGACCTAATACACTCCAGACCTGAATTGTACGTTGCATAGAAATATTAGGTTGGCATTAGACAGATTTCTTAGATTACCTTATGGTATAAAAAGTGCTAGTGAAATATTTCAAAGAAAAATGGCCGAATGTTTTGAAAACATCGAGGGTGTTGACATTTATATAGACGATATTTTAGTATGGGGGAGGACTGAGAAAGAACATAATGATAGACTGAAACTTGTTTTGCAAAGAGCGAGAGAAAAAAATATTAGATTTAATAAAGAAAAATGTAAATTTAGAGTAAACAAAGTTAAATATTTAGGGCATATAATAGATCAAAATGGCATAGAACCAGATGAAAATAAAGTAAAAGTAATTAAAAATTATCCAGAACCAAAATGTTTAAAAGAATTACAAAGTTTCTTAGGAATTTTAAATTATTTACACAAATTCATTCCAAACTTAGCAGAATTAACAGCTCCACTTAGAGAATTGTTAAAGAAAAATACAATATATAAATGGGAAGATAATCATCAAATAGTTTTTGAAAAATTGAAAAGTATTTTGGTCTCACCTCCAGTATTACAATATTTTGATCCAAATCTACCTATAACAATGACTGTTGATGCATCACAGAATGCATTAGGTGCATGTTTGTTACAAAATTCAGCTCCCATTGCTTATGCTTCTAAATCACTGACAGAAGTTCAAAAAGCATATGCTCAAATAGAAAAAGAATTGTTAAGTATTGTTTATGGATGTAATAAATTTCATCAGTACATATATGCAAAACGCGTTAGAGTTGAAACAGATCATAACCCTCTAATTTATATTTTCAAAAAACCTTTAACCAAATGTCCTTTAATAATACAAAGAATGCTCCTTGATTTACAGTTATACAATTTAGAAGTAATATATAAACCAGGAAGAGAAATGTACACAGCTGATGCACTTTCAAGAATTGTATTACCTAAAGATATTGATAACGATCAAGATATTTCATTTTCTACGGAATATGAGACGCAAATAAATTATTTAACAGAAAACTTTCCAATTTCATCACAAAAAATGCAAGAATTCAAAACTGAAACTTTAAAAGACGAACAACTTCAAGCTTTAAGTATTCGAAAGAAGGTTGGCCAAATATAAAAACTAAATGTAAGGATATAGTAAAAATTTTCTGGAATATAAGACATGAAATAACTGATATAAATAACTTAGTATATAGAAATAACGCTCTCGTAGTTCCCAAATCATTAGGAGAAGAAATGTTAGGTATTTTACATATAAATCATTTAGGAATAACAAAAACAAGGTTACGAGCTGCAGAGGTACTTTATTGGCCACGAATAAATAGAGACATAGAAAACATGATCTTGGCATGTCATGCTTGTTGCACTTTCTCTAAAGACAATCAAAAAATACCACTTAATCCACACACAATTCCTAATTATCCATGGCAAAAAATAGGTGTTGATATTTTTGAACTTCATAGAAATTATTATATTATTTTAATAGATTATTTTTCTAAATTTGTAGAGGTTAAAAAAGTAACAAACATAACTGCTAAAAATGTAATTGAATGTTTGCAAAGTATTTTTTCTGTACATGGTATACCTTTCGTATTATTTTCAGACAACGGACCTTGTTTTAGTAGTAATGAATTTAAAAATTTTTGCAGAGATTGGGATATAAAACATGACACATCGAGTCCCTTGTATCCACAATCAAATGGTATGGTGGAAAGAAATGTTCAAACTACAAAACAAATAATTAAAAAATGTAATTTTACTAAAACCAATATAAATAAAGCCCTTAAAATGTAATTTTACTAAAACCAATATAAATAAAGCCCTTTTGGAGTATAGAAATACTCCAATATCAAATGAAATAAAATCACCAGCAGAGCTTTTGTACTCGAGAAAAATTAGAGGTTTTCTACCGTTGTTAGCAAAATCATTAAAACCAAAAACTAATTATCAGAAACAAAAATATTTACAGAAAAGGCAAAATGTACAGAAGAAATATTATGATGTAAATACAAGAAAATGTATAGATTTTAAGGAGGGAGAAAAAGTATACATAAAGAATAATGATATTTGGACTTTAGGTGTAATTTGTAAAAAATTAAAATTTAATTCGTATGTGGTCAGAGAATATAAATCAGGTTCAATTAGGAGAAGAAATGTTAGTTTTTTAAAACGATATTATGAAAATTCAGATTTATATTATTCAGATGATGAAAACTGCAATACAAAAGACACTGATATAGAAAGTAATGTTGAAATAGAGTCTCCCAATACTGAAATTAAAGAAAAAAGAATTTCTCTATCTCTAAGAACGAAATGTGGCAGAAAAGTGAAAAAACCAGAAAGGTTAGAATATTAGCAAGTAGTTATAGTTACTATTACCTATGTTAATTATAAGTTTAGCTAAGTTTAGTTAAGTTTAGATTAGTTTATAAACTATAAGTACTTTCATTAAAATTATAGTTTTAAAATATGTAAATATAGTGTACAAATAGTCAATGTATATATTAAGATAATTAAGGAATGCTATTATATATTTTTAATAATAATCTCATTTTTCAAAAAGGGAGATGTCATATTAGGAGTAAGCAACATTGCTTACTACATATGAAAAGTCTGGTTGCCTACATACATTGATGAAGGGAGTACCCCCTCTTCTACAAAATGTAAATCTACGAAAGATATTTTGAATAAAGAGTGACTAACCGAACGTGTTTGAATAGACACCTACCCCGACACACGAACGAAAGTAAGATAAAAACCCTAATATCACACTAGCAAAAAAGAAACTGGTGGATTCTCCCCGATACTATTTTTTTGACAGATATTCTCTCAACAACTCCAGTTTTTGATTTTCGATTTCCAACTTTCTCTCTTCAATCGCTAATCTTTCATTATGCCTCTGATTTTTTTCATCATATTCTTTTAATTTCTTTTCAATGTACTGACTTTTCAGCGAAGAATACTTTCTTTTATTAATGGGCCTTTGCAAAATTTCATTTTGTGACTGCCGAGGTCTCTCTATATCTGATTCTTGCACGTCCGTTTCATTTCCAATGCTGGACGTTTCATCTGCAGTGCTAGTACTTGGATTATTTTGATAGTCAAACGTAGAATTTAGTGAATGAGTACATTAGTTTGTTGGCTTTTTGCCCAAAATTTCATCCAAATCTTCAAAAAATAGAAACCTAGATGGACTTTGTCCTGTTCTTACTCTTGTGTCTTTGCACATTGAATAACTTCTTGTGAGACTCTTCCACTTATTCTGTACTGCTATAGAATTAATAGTAAAACCTTCACTTATCATATCGTTAGCAATATTTTCAGACATGTTTTCTTTTCCTAGGATTACTTAAATCTTTGTAATGTATTCCCATGCTTTTTATTAAAGATTTCGTCTGGTTATATGACCATATACTTATATTTTTCCTAATTGATGCATCTCCTGCATCATCAGAGCGGGGGTATGAATTACTCTGCAAGGTTTCTGTATCTTCCCCCTCAACAGCTTCTACATTTTTTTCCATAATTTGAATTGGGGCAGAGGTACATTTTGCATGAAAAAGTAGTGTACTGAGAAATTGCTCATCTAAAAATTAAAGTGTTAATAACATTCTATGCAAACCATTATTGTACTAACCTGCCTGAGCTCTTAAGTTTCTTTACTGACAATTATTTTGTACTTTACGTTTTCTTCTGGGTCATAAATATACAAATCGTCAGTATCAACATCAATACAACTCATTTTTAGGTTGAAAACAAGATTTAACTATTTGCTGTTTGGTATCGGGATCGGGTGTACAAAACGTCAAAACAGAAAAAAATAGTAACTTAACCTCACAAACTACAAACAGGGCTCCAAACACTAACAGAAAAGATGGTGCATGAGGGGAAAAGAGAGCGAGCCCTGGTGCAGCCCCAGTGCATGTGGTTATCACAAATGGAACAAGGGCTTCGTGCACCAGAGGAACCCAGAGCTCCTCTTGCTGCCAAAAGGAATACAGTAAATGTCGCGGAAATAATAATTATTATAGACATTTCGAACCTGTGCGTATCAACTCACCAGCTGCTTCTAATACGTTTTATATGTAAGTTAATGTTAGGTTTTATTTCTTTCTTTACACACACAAAACAACGTTTTACTTTTTGGCTCGCTTTATTTCGCTCACGCTCTTATAACATCATAAAACAACCTAACCTCATATTCTTCTTCTTCTTCCTGTATATATTTTTTGACCTAATATCTACAAACAAAATAAATAATTGCCTACATTAACAAACATTTTACCAATACCATGTTGTAATGAATGTTCTTAATATGAACATGTAATAAATGCAGAAAATGTACTACAACAATCGAAAGTTGGTACTGATCTAGTGTGATGAATTTAGAAGTTGGTAGTTGGTAGCATTGCTTCTCATGAAATTGAAAATCAAATCAGGGGATCTGTGAATAGAGAGTGAAGTTTTTATTAAGTTTAGTTTCGATGGAGACGGGAAATTGTTTTTTTGTGTAACATTCCAGCAAACATTTATTTGTACGTTATCATCATTCTTTATGGAGGCTGACTTTCTGGCGTTATAAACGCAATGGCGTTCTCGTGGAGTTCCCGTTCGAGTCTAGGTATTAGTTTTTTTAAATAGTTATTTAAGATCTACATGTGTTACATTTATATGTTGTTATTGGACTAGCCCTTTAAGACTCTTTTCTCCGTAGGTGACGTTGGGACTTACATAAGTGTATAAAGGACTTTTGTTGAAGCTTTCATTTAGCGAGGTTATGGAAGAAATGCCGGTTAAACTTCATTTGCTGGAGTTTGGAGGCTATGGGTTGCATCTGGAGTACTAAGGCCCTTGGAGCCCTTGGATTTGATGTTCCTGTTGCAGTCGCATGTATCGAAGGGAGCTGCAGTCGCAGATCTCAAAGGGGGTTGCAGTTTTGGCAATGCCAAGTCAGCCGTCTGGTCCAGGTACTGATCTAAACTTCTATTAATCCTTTGTCACAACTTTTTTATAATAAGCGAAAAATTTTCATCAGTTTTATTTCTTGATATCGATTTAAAAAAAGTCGAAAGATGTGACGTTCTTGATACAAATCAAAATAACTTTATGACTTATAATGTTTGGAATTATTATCATGTGAAATAACTTTTGACTAAACTATAACCAACTACTAATAAAACTAATAAGAAAACATTAAGACAAATATTTCTCAGAAAATATACAGTGTATTTCACTTAAAGTCAGTACACCTCCGTATTTAGGATGGCGTTGACCGATTTCTAAAATTTTTTTTAATATGGTAGTATTCTACCTTTTGTTATTATATTTTTTGACGTGATCTTTTCTACAGCCTAAGTACTATCTTCAAGAAACGCCCCTCAAAAATTAAAAAACGCAATTTTTTAAGAAAGAAATGGATAGCATTTTCGATTTGATCGAAAGTTTCATTATTTCACAGGATGTTCACAAAATAGGTGCAAACTTTGAAAAATTTCACTCATTGCAGAGTATTAACACTGGAAATATTTTCAAGGTATTTTTTCATAATTTTATTAACCGAAGGTATATCCATGCAGTTTCATCGATTTCACTCATGCAGAGTGCTCACAATAAGATATATATATTTTTTATTATACCAGAAATGAGTCGCAACGAAATAAAACTTAAATATTACTGTTTTCTATTAGTCCACCAACATTTGGTATGCACTGTTCAGTTTGTCACCTCTTGTTTCTAATAACGCTCCTCAACGATATAAATCAATGAAACTGCATAGATATATCTTCGGTTAATAAAATTATGAAAAAATACCTTGAAAATATTTTACACTGTTAACAAAGAAAACTCTGCAATGAGTGAAATTTTTTGAAGTTTGCATCTATTTTGTGAACACCTTGTAAAAGCTATAATAATGAAACTTTGTATTTAGGGTTTAGAGGCGTGATCAAATCGAAAGTGCTATCCATTTCTTTTTTTTTTTTGAGGGTCTTTTTTTACTGATAGTAGACTTTAAGTGAAACACACTGTATATGTTTAAACGATGCATTACAAATCTTTGTAAAAGTTGGTGTAGTATTTTGGGATGTGGTTTTTATTAACCAAATCCATAAGACTAGGGTTACCAGATGAAAGCTTGTCCACCTAGGACAAGCCTTTAAGAAAATTCAGACAAAATCCAGTCGTCATAATTTTTTTAGCAATGTAACAATTTTTCCATTATCTGCTTATTGATGATGGTTACCATTATACCATTTTCATTTTACTAATAAAATAAGAGCAAAAAAATACATTTTTTATTCAAACTTGCAAAATAAAACAAGTTACGGTAATTATTTACTATAGCGTCACCCTTTCAAATCTTCACATAATTGTTTCTACCCCCCTATTTTTTATGGTGCTGAACACGAATCTGAAGTTATTTTTGTGCGTTCGAACCCAGTTTTTGAGAAAAAAATTTTCAAAATTCTAAACCGAATATTTCACGTAACAAAACACAGAACTCTGTATATTTTATGTAGCTTTCAGAATATCTGTTATGAACAATTAACATTGTTTACGAAACACATTTTCGCAAATTTCATGTAAAAAAATATGTATTTAATAAATAAAAATTTTGTAGCTTGAATTCGCCATTTGTAATTCGTGACGACAACATTGAGTTTCCCCACTCTCATTCATCTCTGTTCATCCCATATAATTTTATCTGTTAAATACATATTTTTTTAGTTCAAATTTGGGAAAATGAGTTTCTTAAACAATATTGATTGTTTATTACAGATGTTGTGAAAGCTACATAAAATATACATAGTTCTGCGTAGTGTTATGTGGAATATCCAGGTTAGAATTTTGAAAACATTTTTTCTCGACCGCACAAAAATAACTTCAGATTCGTGTTCATTAGCATCAAAAATAGGGGGGTAGACAAAATTTGATGAAGATTTGGGAGGGTGACGCTACAATAAATAATAACCCAAGTTATAACACACGAAAAGAACTGAATCACTTTACAGGTACTTTTCGCTGATTTGTATTTTGTTTAAGAGTTAAATTTTCTGGCAAAAGCACAAAAGATTTTACATAGGAAATGGTACACTTTGCATATTTGAGAATTTTGAACACAATGAACAAGTTCCATACAGATCTTTCGTGGGTACGAAAAACGAAATATTGAATTCGGACGTAAACAAGCGTTGGGATACAGCATAGCTTCCAAATGGCTTATTATTTTCTTTACAGTTGGCTACATAGTCTCTATGAATGTCTGCCAATGAACGACTACCATCTATAAATATTCGGGAAGAAGTTTTTCGTGTATGGTCGGGTCAAGCAGCTTATGTTTGCCATGTTTTCCCCGTTGGTCTGGTTCAAGTAACACCTGTGCTACCTTATTCCGTTTTTCTTGTGCTGTGTGTATTGTCCGATCATTTACGTCCAAAGTACGTTCAAAAAAATACCTTGCAAACTCAAATCTTCTGCCATTGTTTCCTAGTACCACCAACACGAACGTAGTAATATGGCGGTACTATAGACATCATAGAATTATTAATAAAATCTCTCTGCTTTTCTACAGGGTGCAGGTATAGGGTCATTGGGTAATATACAGGGTGAGTCATTAATTATGGTACACAGTTTAATGGCAGATTGTTGACGTCAAAATATAGCGATTGAGCCAAACATGCTTTAGTCAATTGTTGCTCCTTTTCGTTCTACAGGGTGTTAAAGTTGAAAAATTATTTTAGATTTTTTGCTATACAGGATGGGCCTCGGGGGCTAGGGACCAAACGGCAAATGTTATAGAAACCTGTTTAGGTGGGTATGTGTAGGTTGATTACAGCTATATTTTAAAAATATTTTTAAATATACAGGATGTTCACGAAAAGCGTTTAAATAGAACACCCTTTATTTTATTGCATTTTTGAAAGCACCGTAAAAAAATAGATGAACTTTATTAAAGGTTCTGCATATCTAGGACTTATTGTTTGTGGATACATCTTCCAAAAAAATTCGATAAAAAACAAAACAGCACAAATATCTCCAATACCGTTAGAGATAGGTATAGGGAACGTATACACAGTTTGAAAGAGTTTTAAATTCCCTAACTTCCAAAGTAAAAATATACTGGGTGTCCCATTTAAAATAACGAAGTTATTGCTGTTTAACGTTGAGAGAAGTATTCAGCAGTTTTTTGAATACTACTACTACAATACTAAGTGACGACAAATATAATATTTTATAACTTCAAGGATCTAAAATACACTCTCCAAAGCTGCTTCCTTAAAATTATTTTTTATTGCTAATATTAAATTTCTACGCTAAGCCTGCATTTTCACTAAAATTGAAATATCTCACAAACAATAAATCCTAGGTATGCAGAACCTTTAATAAAGTTCACTAATTTTTTTACGGTGTTCTCAGAAATGCAGTAAAATACAGGATGTTCCACTTAAAAATACATAACTGATGTGGTACGCTTTTCCTGGACACTGTGTATATTTAAAAATACTTTTAAAATGTAGCCGTAATCAACCTAAACATGTTTTTATAACATTTGCCGTTGGGTCCCTAGCGACCGAGGCGTTACTGGTGACCCACCCTGTATTTTAAGTGTGTACGGACCGATTGTTTTGAAAATTGTCGAGGTGGCAAATACGAATATACAAACAGTGTTGGGGTCACGTCTAGGGGTGCTAGTTATACTGTCTTGAATTTTTTAACTAGAAATTATTTAACTACGTTTAATTTTGAATAAAAAAGGTGTGTTTGTTAGAAATTGATAAACTCAACGGTTTTCGAGATACAGACATTTTAAGATTTTGAGATTCGACAGGAAATAAATTAGAAAATTAGCAGGTCTTAAGATACCAAGCCTAAATTAAGACAAACATTACAGCAACTGAAAATTTTACTGTATCGTGACAAATTATTAATCATAAAATATTCTCATAGCTACCACCACGACTCCAATGCACTTATTTAAATTTTGTCTGATGTTAAATAAAGTTCTATGTTTGATAATATGAACTGATTCTTGAATATTTGTCCACAGTTGTTCTTGACTATTAATAATGTCTTTGTATATTAGAGATTTAAAATAGCTCCAAAAGAAAAAATCAGTGGATTTAAATCAGGGCTACGTGCAGGCCAAGGTATACATACTTCACTACTGCGTCCAATCCAACGGTGCCAGAAATTTCTATTAAGATATTTTTTTACTTCTCGAGTATAATGTGCTGTCAATTTATTATGTCAATGCCTACGACTTTCGAATAAATACTTTTTTAATTCCGGCGAATCTCAAAAACTTTAAACGTCTGTATCTCAAAAACATTTGAGTTTATCGATTTGTAACAAGTACAACTTTTTTATTTAGAATTGAACGTAGTTCCATAATTTCTAGTTAAAAAAATAATAATTGTAATAATACAAAAAGTTAGACATGTTTTTACATCGATAGGACAGCATAAGAAGCGCCCCCTAGAGGTGACCCCTACACTGTTTGCATATTCGTATTTGCCACCTCAAAAAACGTAAAACTACAAATTTTCAAAACAGTCGGTCTATACATACGTAAAATATAGCAAAAAATTGAAAATATTTTTTCAATTTTAACACCCTGTAGAACGAAAAGGAGTAACAATTAACTAAGGCATGTTTGACTCAATCACTATATTTTGACGCTAACAATCTGCCATTAAGCTGTGTACCATTATTCACCCTGCATATTAGCCAATGACCAGTAGGTAGAGAACATTTTCTGTCTGTTGATCAAATTTATATGAGCACTTCATTTTGCATTTTTCACCGCATGCAGCTTTAATTTTTCTCTTATTTCTGATCACCTTGTTTCGTATGTGTTTCGTACGCCTCTCCACAATTTCTTAATTTTTTCCACATTTCTGGGTCTCTTTCACGTTTGACTCCTTTCTTGGGTGTCAAACCTGGAAAAATATATATAAAATCAATCTGT